GCAAACACACGCAGTATCAGAAGAAGAACACCCATTTGAACCAAAGCACGCAGGTGATTTACTCAAACAAAGCAACTCTATTTAAGACTTTACTTATATCAAAATAAAAGAGACTGCTTTGATTGAATTTTTTTTTAATAATACCAAGTTATTTTGCAGATGTTATTGTTAGTTTTGAGTCAAATGAGGTGAATGAAGAATTTGTGGTTCCTCAAGCACGCATTACTTGTGACATAATTGGATCGAATGCATGGTGCGCTGTTCATTGTATTTCCAGAGGATTTCGAGGGGGCTACTGCAATAGGAATAAAGTCTGCGTTTGTCGTCGATAGTTTTGTTCATGGAAATAATTTCTGTTGACGAATTTCAATAACCGTTTTGCTCGCACTTGCACACTTTCAGTAAATATCTTTTTTGATTAAAAAAATGGTTGTATTTTTCAAATCGATTCATCTTTTCCTTGTAATTTCAATAAATTTTTGGTTAATAAAACTGGTTTAAAATGTATTTGAATTTTATTTATTTGACTGAATTTATGCAAACTTTTTTTTCCAACTTTAAACAAATGCCGTGAGTTTGTTCAAAATGTTCATTTTGCGAATATTAATTGGTTTACAACCAAATAAGACTTTGTGGCATGGGAATCACATTTTTTGCTTCACATTTAGTTAACTTTAGACTAAGTAGTCCAAAATATGAATCTCATTGAAATTCACGAACATTTTTGACTCTACTATAAAAACTCAACAAACAAAACAATTTGAGCATTGTGAAATAGTTTATTCTCAAGCAAAGTACCAAAATGAAACTTAAATTGTTGAGCGTTGTTGTAGTATTTATTTTAACGGTCATGGCATCAACCGTATTTGCTGCTCAAAGAGACGACCGATTGCTTCTGTTGGAATCGTTGCCGTTAACAAGCGATAAAGTGAATAAATCACAACTTTCTCGTCAGAAACGTTCTCACTGCGGATTGCCAGGGTCAAAGATGAGATGTCATCTGCATTGCATTGTAAACGGTCGTAAAAGCGGTTCATGTACTAAACAAAACATCTGTACTTGTCATTGATTTTGATTCAAAAAATTTAATAAAAATTATAGTTTTTCGATTATGTATTAATCTCAAATTTATTGAAACAATTTCAACAAAAATAAAATGCGTAACAAATGTGATTTATGTCTTTTACTTTCCATACTTACTATCTAGTAAGAAGCCGTTTATTGGAACGTTTATGGCTATCTAAGTGTCTTTTTTTGTGCAAAAGACGATTACAGTAAACTTCAGTTTTGAATGATTCAAATCTGAATTCCAAAATTGATCACTTCAATAAGGGACTTTGGTAAAGTGCACTTTACGTCGGGTATTTTATTGATCAAAGATATGAAAAATTTGATGATGCAATTTGAAAATGAATGATACTTGATTTCAAATCGATCAATAAATTTATTATTGCTTGGTACCAATTTTGTCAAAATAAACAATGGAACCACTTATTTTATCAAATCTCATTCATTTCAGACATTCAGGTATTCCCCAAATTCTAATAAATATCACAACAACTGATAACAAGTCAGAAGATGGTTTGAATCGATGACCGATGTATACGAGGGTTGCTCCATAATTTTTTTTAAAAACATATATAACACAGTTGTTTTTTGTCGAAAATGGTTTTATTGTTTTTCAAAATATTCCCCGAGATGATCGATACACTTTTGCATTCGATGAAACCATTTGTCATAGCATTCGTGCCACTCCGAAACTGATATCTCCAAAACGTGTGTTTTGAACGCTTCAACTGCTTCTTCTGGTGTCGAAAATCGTTGACCACGTAGTTTTTTCTTCACGCTTGGGAACAAAAAAAAGTCATTGGGTGCCAGGTCAGGACTGTACGGTGGATGACCCATCAGTTCGATGTTTTGACCGGTCAAAAATCGAGTAGTTTGAAAAGATGTGTGAGAGCTCGCATTATCGTGATGAAGAATTATTTTGCGACGGTGGTTGTTTTTTCTTATTTCACCAAACACTTCGGGCAAACAAATGGTGGTATACCAATCAGAATTGACGGTCTTACGATCCTCTAGTGGAACGGTTGCCACATGACCACTTATCGCGAAAAAACAGGCGACCATTTGCTTCGCAACACTTCGAGCTCGAACAACTTTTGTTGGGTTATCTTCACTTTGAAAGACCCATACAGTCGACTGCTGTTTAGTTTCGGGCTCATACGCGTAGATCCATGATTCGCCACCAGTGACGATTTTATTAACGTCTTTTGAAGCACCACGATTGAATTTCTTGAGCATTTCTTTACACCAACTCACACGAGCCATTTTTTGTTCATCGGTCAATTTATGTGGGATCCAACGAGAGCAAATCTTTTTTACGGCTAAATGTTCATGCAAAATTGTATGTATGCTGTGGGATGAAATGCCCAAAGATGCCTCAATCTCACGGTAGGTCACATGACGATCTTCCATAATCAGTTTTCTGACAGCATCGATGTTTTGTGGCACAACAGCCGATTTTGGACGACCTGTATGAAACTCGTCTTTGAGCGAACTACGACCGCAACGGAATTCTCGGTACCAGTTATAAATTGTCTGAAGGGTTGGTGCTTCATTGCCAAAGGCCAAATGAAGTCGATCGAAACACTGTTGTTGAGATAATTTACTTCGAAAATCGTAGTAAATCATTTTACGAAAATCTTCACGTGTAAAATTCATTTTTTTGTTGAGTCGCAGTTTACCAGTCACTGTAAACAATACAAATAGCGTTCGTACGACAAAAGGTTCAGGGCACGAATACATACCAAAACATCAAACTTTACGAATATGACAATGGTTTACATCGGGCAACACTATAAGTACCATTTTAAAAAAAATTATGGAGCAACCTACGTATAAGGTACCGAATGAGCTATAACCCATCACAAATCCTTTAATTTTTGAACATAACTGATTGAGTAATCAAAATGAATTTCAAAGGTTTTGCTATTTTCGTTGCTTTTGTGGCCATTGTATCGTGCGGACTTGCCGATCCACAAGAAGAAGAAGCCATTAAAACCCATTCAAGAGGTAAGTGCAATTTTCTAAGAATTTCATGCGAAAAATTCAATTTTGCACAGAGTATCATTATTTGCTGCTGCTCAGCATATAACTGAGAGCTGAATAATGCTGAACTCGTACGGCTACCGCATACGAAACGGATGCACGATACATATTCCCCTTTCGCTTCGTATGTGCTGCCGTTGACGATATTGCCGCTGCTGTTTCACTTACGCGTAAAATACAACGGCATCAACGGCAACAGACTATACCGCGAACATACGAAGTGAAGGAGAATATATGAGAGACTGAGAGCAAAAACAGCACGTCGCATCTCATCTCTTGCTTTCACTTCGTATGTTCGCTGGTATAATGTACAGATTTACATTTTGCAGTAACACATTACAATTGTAACGAAGCATTACAGTAACGTCATAACTATTGTAACGTTAGATTCTAGCATTACCAGTAATAGCTATTGCTATTCTTATAACATTACGGGCAATGCTTCGTTACAATAATATTGTGATACTCAACGCTGCCGCTAATGTCAAAACTCTAACATTAATAATAAGACTTTTCAATGCAACTTAAAGTTGGAAATATATTTACAATAGATGGCGCCTGTGTCTGCTCTAAGCTCATCATTGAAATTGCTCATCAACCCAATCAATTTCAATACTGAGCTTAGAGCAGACACAAACTCTATCTATTGTAAAAATATTTTCAACTGTGTTGAAAAGTCTCAATATTAATGTTAGATTTTTAACAATACGGATAACACATTGTTATTGTAACAAGACATTATCGGTATTAGCTATTGAAATTGTAATGTTAGATGCTAGCATTACATTAATAGCTATTATAATTTTATTAATTATTACAGACGTTTATGTTAATGTAATGGTTAGTAACATTACAATTTCAATGCTGGTAAATCTGGTATAATGTGGTACCGTTGATGCCGTTGTATTTTACGCGAAAGTGAAACAGCAGCGGCAATTGCGTCAACGGCAGCACATACGAAGCGAAAGGGGAATATGTATCGAGCAATCATTTCGTATGCGTTAGCCGTACGAGTTCAGCATTACTCAGCTCTCAGTTATATGCTGAGCAGCAGCAAATGATGATACTCTGATTTTGCATATATTTTTGCAGGTATAAATCAAGCGAAGGAACCATTTGTGCTACCTGAAACTCGTATTACCTGTGACATCATGGGCTCGGATGCTTACTGTGCAGCCCTGTGCATTATAAAAGGATTCAAAGGCGGATATTGTAACAGTCAAAAAGTTTGCGTTTGTCGCAACTGAGAAATGCATTCATTGACTTGGAATATTAATTTAAGGAAAAGCAGTAAATTTTTGTTTTCTATTGAATAATATGAACTTGTTACAAAAATAACAATGCTCTTGAATTTTATTGTCGAATTGGCACAATCAATTGATTAAATCGATCCTATTTTTTCCTGGTATAATTGTAAGTAAGTATTTTCGTCTTGCGGCTGTACTTGTAGCATTTCAAAGTGGTTGATTTTGTGAACGAATGGTTGAATGTAATCAACTCTTGTTGATGTAATCAAACCATTCTTGCATGATTTTATATATTCCCCTGTGAAGTTCATTATTTGCTAGCATCACTTCAACAAAACAGTATCTGCAATTTATTGTAACAGAGAAAAGTATTGTGACGAGTTGTTTCGTGTGTACGCAAGGCAAAATGAATAATGCTCACCTTGCACTGTATATAGATCGTTCGATTCTTCAAAAATGGTACATCTCATAGGTGAAAATTTAATAACTTCACTTCGATCAGTCTGAACATATGACAATGAAGTTAGAACGCTTTTAAAAGGCATGAAAATTGATTATAAGCTCAAAATGGACAAAATAAGTCGTTGGAATATTTCGAGAGATCAATTTACGTAACTTTGTAAAGTAACCATTCTATCATATGTTTAGGTGTTCCAATGTTCATTCAATGTATTTGACCTATATAGGAATCAGCAAAGTCTTTGATTCTTGAACCAGGCGAACAAAACACGATATGATCAAAAATGAATAATTCCAAAAACCATCCACTTTAGTTGGCATATTGTGATCGATTGACACCCGATGTGAAAGAATCTCTGAAATATTTAAATCAATTATGTTTTGCTCGCAGAACAACTCAATGCAGCTGATTATTTAATAAGAAATGGAATCAAATATCAATGCAAAAGATAATGACGGATTTCAATTCGAAGGACCGCATATCCAAAAATCTCTATCTAAGAATGAGATTTTAAAAAGTACTCCCTCTAGAAATCTGACCTCGCAACATACTGTAGTGAATGTAATAGCTTTGACGACTTTTGAATAAAATAGACAACTTAAACTCCAAATTAAACATTCGGTATCCAACAAAATTATTCTCATAAATTTATTCAAATAAAAAAGATGTTCATATCAAAGTCATATACATTTGGGTGAATGAGTAAGAGAACTAAAAAAAATTATTCATTAAAAGTCGTTAAAAGTGTTTTCGTTCATCCAAATTCAAATCATTTGATCTCTTATACATTGGGCCAAACAATTCCTTCGATCCAATCCAAATAATATGCGACCCTAGTGAAAATGGTTGGTAGAGCAAGACCACAGCTTTGACCAAACGATACAATGCCAACCACCGTGGCCAGCGATGTTTCATTGTTGGGGAAATAATGCAATGGCCCAGC